CCCGGGAGGTGGAGGTTGCAGTGAGTGGAGATTGCACCAGTGCACTCCAGGCTGGGTGACAGAGCAAGACTCCATCTCAAAAAGAAAAAACAAAACGCAAGCAGTTGTTTTGGAGTGTAGCCCACATCGTGGGACACGCTCTGAACCTCACCTCTAGGGGTCTGCCAGGACTTGAGTCTAGTTACAGGTCTAGAAACAAACAGGGGTGTTGGTGGTGGGTTCTGAGGAGAATCAGCATTGTCTTGCCTGGCAACTGCCTCAGGGGAGACCACTGTTGCCTCAAAAGTGCAGGGTTAATCTCCTAAGACAAAGACAGAAAGACTGATGGCAGCCTGGACAGGGGAAGGGATATTGCCACCTCTGGGGGTAGGAAGGCTGTTTCCTCTGGCAATAAAAGCTGTCAGAGTTTACAAGCTCAGTGCCCCCAGCTTCATCAGGGTCCTCCCACACATCCCCATTCCAAGTTGCAGGGTCCTATTCTTTTCCAATCAATGCCCTCACTTTAATAGTAGATACCTAGCAAGACTATGCATGCACCTTTCCTTGCAGGCCAGCCACTTGCATGATGAGCTTCTGTCTGATTTTCAGAAACATCAGCCCTTTGTCTACAGGAGATAGGACTCTCAGGGCAATCTTAGAAGCTTGAGGCTCAGTGAATGCTTCTGGAGCCGGGAGTTAGAATCCCTGAGCTCATGATTTCCTTCCATCTTTTTCTCCAGCGAACTTAGGAGCAACCAACCAACTTCATTATATTCCTTGGTTCTCCACATGTGGTCAAAGGTATTATGTATAGAGTCACTAAACTCCCTGCCCCTCAAGAGCAATGAATCAGGAATATTAAATATATCTATTTTGCGTAATTATCTAATAACAGTTCACACCAAGGACTATCAGTGTTCTCTGTACTATTAGAAGTAGAGTCCTTAGCATTTTTTGGGTCTAATCAGATTAAGCAGCTAACTACAGAAACCCCAAAACCAACTAAGGAAATCCATCCTTAAAATTCTGTTCCTCTAGAACCACTCCTGGTACCAAAATCTGTCAGAGATTTTTAGTGGAACAGAACTAATAGGATAAATGTGATCTCACATGATCACAAGGCAGAGTTCCACAACAGGTTTTCTGCAAGCTGAGGAGCAAGGAAGCCAGCAGGGGCTCAGTCTAAGTCCCAAATTCTCAAAAGTAGGGAAGCCGACAGCGTGGCCTTCAGTCTGTGGCCAAAGACCTGAGAGCCCCTGTAAACCACTGATGTAAGTCCAAGTGTCCAAAAGCCGAAGAACTTGGAGTCTGATGTTACAGAAAGCAGGAAGAATCCAGTGCAGGAGGAGATGAAAGCCAGAAGACTCTGCTGCTTTCACTTTCTTCTGCCTGCTTTTTCTAGCTGAGCTGGCAGCCAATTAGATGGTGCTCACCCACAGGGAGGTTGGGTCTTCCTCTGCCAGTCCACTGACTCAAATGTTAATCTCCTCTGGCAACATCCAGAAACAATACTTTGCATCCTTCATTCCAATCAAGTTGAGAGTATTAACCCGCAAAAGAATTAGGGTAAAACTAACTATGAAACCACCTAGAGCACCCCCTTAAATGGTGTTCCTACTGCCTACATTACTGTCTGCCCTATTTCTCTCCTTTTTCTATGGGGACAAACACACATTCATCCTTCAAAATCTACCTCAGGCATCATCTCTCTGAAGCCCTACTTGCCCACCATATATGGGCTGCAAGTGTCACATATACTTTAATATATATTACATAAGCTGAATTATTTGGTCACTGCTTATGACTTGAGAGAGCTGAGAAATCATCATGGGTGGATCCTGGCTAAGGTAGAGATTTTCTTGAAAGCTCAAATACCCCATGGAATTCTAGCTCCTGAAGAGGCTTCAAGAGGTTACCTGGCCCACTTTCTGACCTTACTGCATCTTGTCTTTTCCTGAAAAGCTAAGATTCTTCAAAGGGGATTCTATAGCCTTCTGCAGTTAACTGCCCCAGTATTTATGCATTCCTTTTTTTTTTTTTTTTTTGAGACAGAGTTTCACTCTTGTTGCCCAGGTTGGAGTGCGATGGTGCAATCTCAGCTCACTGCAACCTCCACCTCCTGGTTCAAGCAATTCTCCTGCCTCAGCCTCCCAAGTAGCTGGGATTACAGGCATGTGCCACCACGCCCGGCTAATTTTGTATTTTTAGTAGAAATGGGGTTTCACCATGTTAGTCAGGCTGGTCTTGAACTCCTGACCGAAAGTGATCCACCCACCTCAGCCTCCCAAAATGCTGGGATTACAGTTGTGAGCCGCTGTGCCCAGCTATTTATACATTCTTATGATTGAGAAATGTTTCCTTAAATTAAATCCCCCATGTCAGCTGAAGCTCCCATTGTCTTGTTAGCGCCTGGACAGCAAGAGAAGGTGCTGAACAAAGAGAACATGTCAGTGCCTTCCCTTCAGTTGTCATTTCCCAGACTTTTCAACTCCTCTGCCCTCCTTCTGTGGCCCCTCATTTGGGTCCCCTCATTGCTCTGTAGCTTTAAAGAACAAGTGGCCTAGTTGAGGTAAATCCCTGGATGAATGTAACTAGAAAAAGGCTCTCCAATTTGTACACTTTAACCTTTTGCCTTTATCCTAATGCCTTGGCATCTTTACCTGCTGATACTGGTTTGTTTTCTTTTTTCTTTTCTTTTCTTCTCCTTTTTCTTTTTTTTTTTAAGACAGAGTCTCTGCCTGTCCCCCAGGCCGGAGTGCGACCTCGGCTCACTACAACCTCCGCCTCCCAGGTTTAACCAGGTTTAAGGAATTCTCCTGCCTCAGCCTCCTGAGTAGCTGGAGTTACAGGTGCCACCGTACCCAGCTAATTTTTGTACCATTTATTTATTTATTTATTTGAAGTCTCACTCTGTCACCCAGGCTGGAGTGCAGTGGCATGATCTCAGCTCACTGCAACCTTTGCCTCCTGGGTTCAAGTGAGTTTTGTGCCTCAGCTTCCCAAGTAGCTGGAATTACAGGCGTGTGCCACCACACTTGGCTATTTTTCTTTTCTTTTTTTCTTTTTTTTTTTTTTTTTTTTTTTTGTATTTCTAGTAGAGACGGGGTTTTGCCATGTTGGCCAGGCTCGTCTTGAACTCCTAGCCTCAAGTGATCTACCTGCCTCAGTTTCCCAAAGTGCTGGGATTACAGGCATGAGCCACTGTGTCCAGCCTGATACTGGTTTCTGATTAATGACTTGCAGCACAAAATCTGTCAGCTCAGAGCTGAAAGTCACTCCTGAGAGTCCGTTTAGTTTTCTAGGCTAGTTTGGTAGAGTAGGGAGGTAGGGCTATGCAAAACCAAAGATGTTTTTTCAGAGCAAAGAAGAAGAAACTTTGAAAATTGCTAGCATTAGCAGAATAACTAAGACATCAAAGTTAAAGGATAATGAGGTCATGAGGTGGAGCTGGGACCTCGCATTCATTGTTTGTGGATATGGAAGTTTGATTTTATTGTGGAGAATATCAGTAACATCTTGGAAAATCGTATCTGGACAAATCTGGCGGCGGGGCGGGGGGACTAATTAATTGTCCTTGAGTAGAAAAACAAGTAAATGAGGACCTATTCATAAAAGGGAATACCACTCAATTGTTAGAATGCATCCAATTTTTTAAACTTGAGGGCTCAGTCTCACAAATGTAATGTTAAATCTCAAAAACAAGATAGAGACCTAAATAAATGAACCTCAGAAGACAGATACAGGTTGTATGTGGCAGTTCACACCTGTAATCTCAGCACTTTGGGAGGTTGAGGGGGTGAGGATCAGATTGCTTGAGCCCGGGAGTTCAAGACCAGCCTGGACAACCTAGCAAGACTCCCATCTCTACAAAATATTTGAAATAAATAAATAAGACAGATACAGTGTAATTTGCTAAATGTAGCAGGAAATTATATATATATTATGGATTCTTGGTTTTGGTTTTTTGTTTGTTTGTTTTGAGCTGGAATTTAGCTGGTCACGCAGGTTGGAGTGCAATGGCATGATCTCGGCTCACTATAACCTCTGCCTCCTTGGTTGAAGTGATTCTCCTGCCTCAGCCTCCCAAGTAGCTGGGATTACAGGCACGTGCCACCATGCCTGGCTAATTTTGTATTTTTAGTAGAAGCAGGGTTGCACCATGTTGGTCAGACTGGTCTCAAACTCCTGACCTCAGGGGATCCACCTGCCTCCACCTCCCAAAGTGCTGGGATTACAGGTGTGTGCCACCGTGCCTGGCCATGGATTCTTACATAGTAATATCTATAAAGATACACACTAGAATGATACCTACTATCTTCAGGATTGTGGATGCTTCTGGGGATGATGAAAGAAGAAAAATTGGTAAAATGCTAGCCTCTGTTAAATCTGTGTTTCATCCCAGTTACTCGAGAGATCTGAGGCAGAAGGATCACTTGAGCCCAGGAGTTCAAGACCAGTCTGGGTAACATAGCAAGACCCCATCTCAAAACACAAAATAACAAGACAAATATGTGTTTTAGTTATGTGTGTTAGGCACATAGGTGTCTATTTTATTATCTACTTTTCTATATGTTTACAATGTCACTTTTTTTTTTTTTGGAGACAAGAGTCTTGCTCTTTCACCCAGGCTGGAGTGCAGTGGCGTGATCTTGGCTCACTGCAACCTCTAGCTACTGGGTTCAAGTAACTCTTGTGCCTCAGCCTCCCTAATAGCTGGAATTACAGATGTGCACCACCACACCCAGCTAATTTTTTATTTTTGGTAGAAACAGGGTTTCACCACATTGGCCAAGCTGGTCTCCAACTCCTGGCCTCAAGTGGTCCACCTGCCTCAGCCTCTCAAACTGCTGGGGTTACAGATGTGAGCCACCATGCCCAACCAAAATTATGAGAGTTCAAATTGAATAGTGAGGTACTTATTCCGCAAAGCCCTTTGAACTTAAGAGTTCCACAGTGCCAGGTAAAAAAAAGAGAAAGGGTGTCTCCAATCTCAATAACATAACTTCTTCTGTTCTTCTTAGGAATGTTCCTGGCAGATATAATTGAGAAATACTTTGTTTCCCCAACCCTATTCCGAGTCATCCGATTGGCCCGTATTGGGCGCATCTTGCGTCTGATCAAAGGCGCTAAAGGGATTCGTACCCTGCTCTTTGCCTTAATGATGTCCTTGCCTGCCCTGTTCAACATCGGCCTTCTGCTCTTCCTGGTCATGTTCATCTTCTCCATTTTTGGGATGTCCAATTTTGCATATGTGAAGCATGAGGCTGGTATCGATGACATGTTCAACTTTGAGACATTTGGCAACAGCATGATCTGCCTATTTCAAATCACGACTTCGGCTGGTTGGGATGGCCTGCTGCTGCCCATCCTAAACCGCCCCCCTGACTGCAGCCTAGATAAGGAACACCCAGGGAGTGGCTTTAAGGGAGATTGCGGGAACCCCTCAGTGGGCATCTTCTTCTTTGTAAGCTACATCATCATCTCCTTCCTAATTGTCGTGAACATGTACATTGCCATCATCCTGGAGAACTTCAGTGTAGCCACAGAGGAAAGTGCAGACCCTCTGAGTGAGGATGACTTTGAGACCTTCTATGAGATCTGGGAGAAGTTCGACCCCTGACGCCACCCAGTTCATCGAATACTGTAAGCTGGCGGACTTCGCAGATGCCTTGGAGCATCCTCTCCGCGTGCCCAAGCCCAATACCATTGAGCTTATCGCTATGGATCTGCCAATGGTGAGTGGAGACCGCATCCACTGCTTGGACATCCTTTTTGCCTTCACCAAACGGGTCCTGGGAGATAGCGGGGAGTTGGACATCCTGCGGCAGCAGATGGAAGAGCGATTCGTGGCATCCAATCCTTCCAAAGTGTCTTATGAGCCAATCACAACCACTCTGCGTCGCAAGCAGGAGGAGGTATCTGCGGTGGTCCTGCAGCGCGCCTACCGGGGACATTTGGCAAGGCGGGGCTTCATCTGCAAAAAGACAACTTCTAATAAGCTGGAGAATGGAGGCACACACCGGGAGAAAAAAGAGAGCACCCCATCTACAGCCTCCCTCCCATCCTATGACAGTGTAACTAAACCTGAAAAGGAGAAACAGCAGCGGGCAGAGGAAGGAAGAAGGGAAAGAGCCAAAAGACAAAAAGAGGTCAGAGAATCCAAGTGTTAGAAGAGAGCAAAAATTCAATATCATACGGATCTAAAACTCGCAAGTGAAAGATTGTTTACAAACTTCCTGAATATTATCAATGCAGAACAGCTGTGGAGACTCTAACCTGAAGATCTATACCAAACGTCGTCCGCTTACCATGTAACACAGCTGCATCTTGAGCAGTGACCTGCCAAGGGCAAAGGACCCCGCTCCCTAGACTCACAGATTTTCTAATGCTTGGGCAGGTGGTTACTGCATGTTCCACATCAGTCAATGCAACTTAGGACAAAACTAATCAGATACAGAAACAGAAGAGAGGCTGCCGGGACCAGCATATTTCCGTTGCAGCCAAATGGATTTTATTTTTTCATTTTGTTGATTCTCAGAAGCAGAAAGCATCACTTTAAAAGTTTGTTTGTTCATACAAACTATATTTGCATTCTTACATTAGTTAAGCTAAGCAGCAAAAAGAAAACACATACACACACACACACACACACACACACTCACACAGACACTCACATTTAGCCCATGTCATTTAATTGTCAGTTTCTTTGACATAAATTGCATCATCTCCACATGGGCTTCACGTGGTTTGCAGATGGGTGGGGGAAAACAATCAGGTTTCTTCAGGCTGAGGAGGACTTGCTCAGGCCGATTCCAAACATTGTGCTCGTTCAATGCGTAGAGATGATTTGCATGATGGCATGCCGTGATCAGAAGTCATGCATGAGATCCATACACCACAGGACACTACTAACCTAGTCCCCTGCATTGGGTCAGCCTTTGGACAGGACCCAGCCCTGCACCGTTCACTGTATTTGGAGAAAATGGTAAGAGTTCCATACTGGCTACAATTCTTTATTATGAGTTCTTAAAAGTCCTTCATACACCCTCTGGGTAGGGAAACAACCAATTGACTACCACCACCAACAACAAAAAACAAACCCAATCCAACAAGCAGATGGATCCGTTGCGTGTGTATGTTTAACAGACATCTCTAACATACAGCCATTGTTGCACATTTTGCAAGATGAACTATTTAATGCTGCTCTGTGTCCAGGACATGGGGGAGACTTTGATCCCAAATGGCTTGTACTATTTATGTCACTGTAAAACCAAATCCTAGGGCTAAAAAAGAAAAATTCATTTGTATCTTGCAATATTTATGATGATCGTTTAGCCTTCATACTGGAGAATTGACACTTGTTTGGGGTAGAGATAAAAGTGCTATTCAAAGTAGCACCAGTTATCTCTAGGGGTAATTTGGGGAACTTAAAATGACCTTTCATTGGGAGTTATGGGGTGCTCATTTCATTTCACATCATGTCCTCTGCATTGTGGCTTTCTCCAGGCATGGGTCGATACCATGAGGGGTTCAGATATTCTGAACGGACCTCTCTCTTCTGCAGAGGGGTCGTCACATACTCACACACTGCATGATTCCTCCTGCCTCCATCACATTTCTCCACCGAGTAGGGCTTCCCTTGCCCACAGAGGTGGGTGAGGGTAGCAGCATTGGGGTTACGGCTGTGGTTTCTTTCATTTATTATTAGAATAATAGTCAGTGGTGGGATCTGAGGTAGAGATGGAGCCGCCTCTAAACCAAGCCCACTTGGTTTCTTTACTGCACTGGTTTTCATGAGAAAGCAATTTAATATTAATTCTTCAGGATGTTCCAGCTTCCCCCAGTGCATTCCCTTGCAGCCAGTTTTGCTGTCTGCTTAGCGACCTGCCAGCTGTCATTGGAGTGTGGCTTCTGGGGGAGCCTCATATCTTCCATTCCATCTCCTGCTTTAGGAAAGACAGTTTTTAGTCCAGGGGTTTCTCACCTGATGACTGGATTTCAAAGCCAAGATGCTGCAGTTGAATGTGTCAGGAAGTCTACACAAAGAGTGAAAAGAGACTTTAGCATGTGAACCAAATCAAAATAAATTCTTCCTGAACCATACACTAGAGGGGGAAGAAGAACCAACCCATAATCAGACACACCGATCTGCCTTGCAGTAGAAGCACTTTGAAGGTAATTTCACAGTCCACCTGACTAGTTTTGCGTAGAACAAACCACAGTAAGTCGATAAGCAGAGCTTTCTATCTTGTCGGACCACTAGAAACTCTGTCCAGCTCTCTTAAGCCTGCTTCTGCAGCAGCATCCGTAGAATTTTTGTACTACACCCAATACCAGACCGGGAAGGCATTCAGTGACCCTACTAACTGCTAGGATGAATGTATAGTAACATGTACAGGCTACATTGTAAACAGCACAAAACAGAAGCTGACACGTGTGGTTATTCTTTTTAAGAGAATTATAAATAGTGTAATATATAATTTTATTTTATTGGCATGCCTTTTTGTAAATACAAATTATTAACTTATTAAATAGGAAATGGCTTCTGGCTTACGCCATTGTCATGTTTATTTTTATTTTTTATACTTTTCTTTCTTCTTAGAACTTAGATGCTGTCAGCCAATGTACATCCCCAAACCAGACAGACAGACAAAAAATTTTTTATCGCTAATGGTCTTTTCCAAAACAACAAAAAATATATATTTTTGTTCCAATGTGCAATAAATTCTAACCACGTCTATGCAAGATTTGGCTAAACTTAATAATTGTTCTTAGGTCTTGAGATGGGCAACAGAGCTGTAAGATCCCGCTAAGCACACCATGTGCTCATGCTAGTGATGTCATTAAGCTACTAGAGCATATTGATGAGATTTTTCTGAGATCTGACCTTTTCCCTTCCCCAGCTCCTGACCCCAGCCCAGCGGGCTATCTCCTCAGTAACACATGGGCCTTGGTGTCTGGCATCCATCAGCCAGCCTCATAGGAAAGAAGCCACCTCCGCTCTAATTGAAGTTTCACATTTTTTTAAAAAGAAGTTTCCCACCTTCTTATCCTTCACCCACTATCCTTCCACCTGCTCACTCACTCAGTCACTCACTCACCCATCCTGCTCCACACTTCTTTGGTAGTAAATGACACCATCACCAGCAGTTTACACCCGCAGTTAACAGGCATTGAACTGAAAGAATCAGCGATGACGTTTTTGTGCATCTCCGCTGAGTGGGTAAGTGGCAACGCTTTGCCAAATATTAACGAAGCCAATCAAAAAGCAGCAGCAGCCACAGTATCACTGCACATATATATATAGATATATAAATATAATATATATATTTATTTTTTGTAGCCAGGTCCTTGGTGCAGTATTTATACTCCACAATCCACCTTTTAAAAAAAGGACAAAAAGCAAAAAGACGTGTGATGCTGTTAATTTAAAATGCAGAGCCAAAGCCACTGAGCCGCAGCTGACGTAGTTGCTGGTTTGTGTGTGAAAAACATTTCCCCCTATTCTTTCCCTGACCTCCTTGTTGCTTAGGATGAGGAGACTCCGTAATTTAAAGCAGATGAGAGCAGGAAGAAACTTCCATGTTAGCATGGCCTACTCTCACTCCTTTCCAAATGAGCCACTTTCGGTGTCGGAAGTTGGCTAGGAAGAGATTTAAAAAAAAAAAAAAAAGAAAAAGAAAAAAAAACAGAAACTTCCAGTTAAAGCCCCTAAAGCGACAGTGCCCAGAGTTCTTTTATTTTTCACTGCAACCAACGTAAACCTGTAAAAGACCAACAGTGAAGATTAGTGTATTAGTGAATGCATGGAGGCCAATGCTGCCCTAATGAGACGTGATAAAAAGTCCATCACTCCTCTAAGCCAAAAGGAAACAAAATAAAAATGACCCTTTTTACTGTACAAGGGAAGCCTGTCTTGGTGTGTTTGTTGCTTGACTATCCCAATTCTTGAGTCCTGGGAGGGGTCTGGGAATTGGGACCTTAGCACATTTGGGGAAAGGAGGGGAATGGAGGGAAGAGAAATCAAAGGGGCTCTCGCAAAGTTCTGGCTGAGAAGTAGAGATTGGAAGAAAAGCAAGGTCCTGACCCCCCAGATCCCCACTCACCCATTGCATGTGGCATTTCCCCCCTACCGGCCGGTGCTTAGAGGCTCATAAACCCCTCCTCACCTAATCCACCTGGCAGAGCCCTCAGAGATGATGTCAGCCAACCCAGCTGGACTGGCCTTACTTCTGCCTTTTTCACCTGTATGTTTGAAAAAAAAAAAAAAAAAAAAAACAAAACTACCCCCATGCCTCAAAGCTAGGGCATGCGCAATGCCCTAGCAGCCCTCCACTCTGCAAGCTCATACTGGGCCCTGCGCTCTATTGCCCCAGACAGGCCCACAGATGAGGGCTGGTCTCCTTCACATTTGCATGGGGGTGGGGGCACTCTTCCCCTTCCTTCTCTCCCTGTCCCCCTTTGGGGACATCCCTCTCTAGGCCTAGGCCATGTCTCCTGGTTCAGGAACACTCTCTCAGGAGGATCTCGAAGTGCCCACTCTAGTCAGCTCCAGTAGCTCCACTCTGGGGCGAGATGGCTGGTAGGTCAGTCCCCATCCTCCGCCCCCGGCCCCCAGCCTCCAGTCCTGCTGTGGAGGTGAGATCGCCATGGGTCATGACTTTGTGACTTGAGTCCTGGGCATCTTCTGTAATGATGCCTCTTTCTTTTCTCAGATGTTGCCCACAGTTTAGCAAAAAGCTTTGTTCATTTTCAGGTACCCCCCACCCCTAAAGAATTGGCTGCAACTCGCCAGCCAGGGGGGACATCAGGAAAGAAGAGGAAGTCTGCATTGGGAGGAGCCCAAGGTTTGCAACAGAGTCTCCATTGTTGAGCTCTGTGCTTTCTTGGATTCTCTTTCCAAGATTACCAAGATTTCCTCCATTAAAACTCCTGAGGCACCCCCTGCCCCTGCCCCTGCCCCCCACTGCTGTTTGCTGTACATAGAGGCTAAGTGGGGTGGGGTGGGTGGGTGTGCACATGTGGTGTGTGTGTGTGTGAAGAATGTATATAGGTAAAGGGGAGCGTAGTCCAGTGGTTCCAGAAAAGGGACAGAACTGTGTTCTAGCCCTAGCTTGACCACGGGCTCGCTGTGTGGCCTTGGGCAAGTCACTTAACCTCTCTGTGCCTCAGTTTCCCCATCTGTAAAATGGGGATAATAATACTGACCTACCTCACAGGGGTGTTGTGAGGCTTTAACTAAATGTTTTGTAAAGCGTTTTGAGATACAGAGACAAAGGCACAAGGGAAGGGTAAAGAATTATTGGACTCAAGGAAGCTGAAATGGTACCATAAATGCTGCTATTCTGAGAGCCATTTTAAACTGCACTGCTCCACCCACCCCCGCTTCTCATCACCAGGACAGCAGGTCGAGAAAATGTCTTTCCTTTCACTTGCTTCTGGGGTTTGTGATTATTCGAGACAATTTTTTCCCCTTGCTGTATCTCCTTCCCTCACCTCCTCGACTTGTTTCCTGTTCTGTTTATGCGGAAATGGCAGAAATGCTTGAGAAATGAGAATGTGTAAGTGGATTGGAAGTTTATAGTATGAAATTTCAATTTTACTTTGTACTGTACATCTTTTTACTTTAGAATTTGCAATAAAGGGTTACGTCAATCTTGTTTTCAACTCTCCTCTTGGACTGGCCTGTCATTCTGTCATTGCCCCTCACACCGAAGCCCAGGGTGAACATGCACCACCACCTCGCAGGACCCCACTCTGTCCTGTGGCGGGGACAGAGTCTGCCTGAGGGCTCACCCTGGGTCAGCCTCCTGGCTGGGCAGGCAGTGCCCTAGCCACTCCCAGGTGTGTGGGAAAGGTTCAAGGACTCCACTCGGCCTGTGGCCTGTCCGGAGGCCTTGCCTGAGGGGGGCAGCACCTTGGAGGCGGCGCCCTGCACGTGGGCACACCCCTTTCTAGTGGTGCTGCCTCTGCACACTCCAGCAGGGCCCCAGAGTAGCCCGGACAAGGTGCTGCACATCTTGTTCTGGTCCCCATCATGTTTTTCAAGCCCCCTTATCGCGCACACACCTTTCCTTCCGAGCTCAAACTTTCAGGTCAGGTGGCCATAGGTTCAAGAACATGACTATGCCACGAATTAGCTGTGGCAGAGTTTACGCATGTGTGATGGAGATAATACCTTCCTTCTCGGGTTTTGAAGAGTACATCAAATAATGTATGTAACTGCTTAGCATGAGGCCTGGCACGCCGTGCTCAGTAAGTGGTAGCTCTTCGTGGAAGAATAATTGTAAGATCAGAAGGAATCTGCCCGGCGTGGTGGCTCACGCCTGGAATCCCAGCACTCTGGGAGGCCCAGGCAGGCGGATCACTTGAGCCCAGGAGTTGGAGACCAGCTTGGCCAACAAGGCGAAACCCCATCTCTACTAAAAACACAAAAATTAGCGGGTTGTGGTGGCGCGTGCCTGTAGGCCCAGCTACTAGGGAGGCTGAGGCAGGAGAATCGCTTGAATCCTTGAACCTGGCAGGCAGAAGTTGCAGTGAGCAGAGGTCGCACCACTGCCCTCCAGCCTGGGCAACAGAGCGAGGGGCCGTCTCAAAAAAAAAAAAAAAAAAGGAACTAAGCTTACAAAAATCGGGCGGTGTGCCTGCCTGCCACTCTGGGAGACTGGCACCGGAGCCCCTCTTCCACCGGCAGTCCCACGGGCGATGCGGCTCCTTTCCAAAGGATTAAAAAAAAACTGCTCTGTCCTTTCGGTATTTCGTAACATTTATAAACCGTCCAAAGCACCACTCCCGCAGGACTTTGCTCCCATTTTACAGCCGAGGGCAAGGGCACGGAGGTGAGGGAGGATCTGGCCCATCTGCAGCCAGGCCCCCGGGGGCGCGCGTCGCTACTTAGGAAGGAGCGGCTTTGTTTCCCACCAGCCCTGCACCGTGGCGGGCGGGCCGGGGCTGGCGGGCCACGCCTGGTCGCCGTCGCCGCCCGTGATCCACAGCGTGAGCAGGACGAGCAGCGCCCCGGTGCTCAGCGCCCCCAAGAAGCCGGTGAGGAGGCCGAGCGCCAGCGGCCCCGCCCAAGCCGTGGGGCTCCGCTCGTACCGGGGCTGAGGCAGGCGCTCCACGATCAGCTCCAGCGCGTCCCAGTCCAGCGCTGGGAACGCGGCGCGCCGGGGGCGCGAGGCCGAGGGATCGGGCGGCCGGGCGGCGGCGCCGGGCGGCGGCAGGAAGCGCTGCCCGAATTTGCGCAGCTGCAGCGTCGCCTGCTGGTGGAGGTTCTTGCCCAGCTCCCTGGCCACGTCGGGGCGGCCGCTGCGCCGCAGGGCCCGAGCCAGGCGGTCCCAGGACAGAGACGGGGCCCGGGGGGCCAGCCAGGCTGCCAGCGCCTCCCGGCAGCCGTCGGAGACCTCCCCGGGCCCTGCCGCCCTGCCCGCCCGGTCCTCGGCCGCCTCTCGCCGCCGCCGCCGGCTCGGAGACCCCGACGTGGTGTTGAGCGGCTCGGGCCGCGCCAGCCGGTCCTCAGAAAGCCGGGACAGCTCGGCCTCCATGTCCGGCTCGGGCGCCTCCAGGAGCGACCGGAAATGGCCGCACTCCTCCGGGGTCAGCAGCTCGGCCAGACGGACCGCCGCGTGAGGGCCCATGGCGTCCAGGGCCCCCGCCGGAGCCAGCGCCCAAACCCAGAGCGCGAGGACCACGGCGCCCGCCGGAGTCCGCGCCGCCATCCCTGGTGGGAACCAGGGACCGAGAACTGGGCGGGGACTTGGACCGGCTCCGAGCGCCCGCGGTGGGGGAGGGGTTCCGAACGCCCGCGGATTGTGGGAGGGAGAAGGCTCCGAACACTCGGGAAGCCAAGTGGAGGAGGGAACTGGGGACGAGGGGGCTGGCAACACCCAGCAATGGAGACGCGGGGCTCCAATATAGCACTTGTTGGAGGGTCTCACGAAACTTAGGAACTGGAGTTAGAGCGACTGCAACACCCCGGGAGTTCTCAGCCCTCCAGGAGGCTAGGAGTCTAAGCCTTTACACTGGAGCTCCCACCCTGCGCCTCCTAATACCCACTAATACCTCAAACTGAACAGATTGCCAACATTCTTCTAATTCATGTACTGCCCAACCCCTCCCCTCTTTACCAGAAGCCCTAGACCCCTTGTTTTCCATTAAGCTCGATATTCAATCAATTCCTACATTCTCTCTCTTTTTTTTTTTCTTTTCTTTTTTTTTTTTTTTGCTTTTTTGTGCAGATGGAGGTCTTGCTGTGTTGCCCAGCCTAGTTTCCAACTCCGGCCTCCTCCTCTGCCACCACCTCCCAAAGTGTTAGGATTACAGGCATGAGCCACTGGCCTGGCCTCAATTTCTAAATTCTCCTCTTGTCTACCAGCTACTGAAGTTTAGTATTCATCAAATGAATCCATCATCCCATTGCCCCACTCTGGAGTGCGTCCAAACCCTCCTCTCTTGTCTGGTCTTCCAGCCCCCACCCCTGTCCCCACCCACTGGGGCCCTGCCTACTGCACTTATTCCATTTTCCCCAAGGAAGCTTGACTCTGATTCTCCTTCTGATCGTGGCCTGCACTCCTCCTGCTGTCAGGCGCCTTTGGGAAGCCCTTCCTGACTCTGAGTCACACCCCTTAGTGATATCCCCTGTAGGGGTTCCTCCTATCTGTCCCCACAGCACACCACAGCTCAGCCTTTTTACTGTCTTCCCCCACTGGACTGCAAGCAAGGTCCATACACTGCCCCCATGGCAACTAGAGCCTAAGTGTTCAGTAAAAGATTTGTTGAGTCAATGTGTGAATTTCTGTTTAAGAGACAGGGTCTCTCTATGTTGCCCAGGCTGGTCTCAAACTCCTGGGCTCAAGAGATCCTCCTGCCTCAGCCTCCCAAAGTGTGAGGATTACAGGCATAGCCACCATGCAGGGCCATTGTGTGAATTTTTTTTTTTTTTTTTTTTTTTAGTCTGTTTTCACTGCCGGTAAAGTGAATTCTTTTTTTTTTTTTTTTTTTTTTTTTTGTGAGACAGAGTTTCGCTCTTGTTACCCAGGCTGGAGTGCAATGGCGCGATCTCGGCTCACCGCAACCTCCGCCTCCCAGGTTCAAGTGATTCTCGTGCTTCAACCTTCTGAGTAGCTGGGACTACAGGCATGCACCAGCAGGCCCAGGTAATTTTGTATTTTTAGTAGAGACAGGATTTCACCATATTGGCCAGGCTGATCTCGAACTTCTGACCTCAATGATCCATCCTCCTTGGCTTCCCAAAGTGCTGGGATTACAGGTGTGAGCCACCACGTCCCCAGCCATTTCTGGGCATTCTTGACATAACCTGTGCTTCCTCCACCAGGGCACTTATCTGGAAATTAGAGGATTTATTCAACAAACATTTATTCAGTGTCTTCTGTGTACCAGATAATTGCACTAGGTGTGTGAATACAAAGACTAATTTGATGTGGCCCTCCACCCCCAGTAGCTTTATCCAGTTTTATTATTTATTGAGAGAATTTCACTCTTGTTGCCCAGGCTGGAGTGCAGTGGCATGATCTCAGCCACCTCCCAGGTTCAAGCAATTCTCCTGCCTCAGCCCCAAGTAGCTGGGATTATAGGCATGCACCACCACACCCGGTTAATTTTTGTATTTTTAGTAGAGACGGGGATTTTCCATGTTGGTCAGGCTGGTCTCGAACTCCCAACCACAGGTGATCTGCCTGCCTCAGCCTCCCAAAGTGTTGGGATTACAGGTGTGAGCCAGCACGCCCAGCCCAGTTGTATTTTTAAATGATTAGTTTTTGAGCTTTTCCCACCTAGACCATGGATTGATTATCCAGGAACAGCAGCGGTGCTTGACCCCTTCTGTATCCTCAGTGCCATGCCCGATGTCTGCATACAGTAAGGTGCGAAACAGGGGACAGGAGTGGAGGCAGGTGGGTCTGGACCTCCAAGAGCAGAGAGGCTCGTGGTCACTGGACTCTGGGGCAGTGCCTGAGAGCCCCCACCTCCAGGCACACTCACATTTGTGGCCTTTTTGCTTTGCAGGGTCTCACTGGTGCTCACCCTGCCTCCTGTAAGTGTGCAGTGAGCCATAGCAGGGAGCCTGGGTGCACCGCTCCCCTGGTGCTCTTGGGCATGCTCAACAAACTTGCCTAGAGTATTCAAGGACCCAGCAGTTGTGGGTCCACATCTCTCACGGGCATCTCTACAGAGCTTTTTCAGCAAGTGTTCCTTCCTAGATTTTTCAGTCTCCCAGGTTATGATGAGCTGTCACAGATAGAGTTAGGGGACTGATGGATGGGGCAATGGTAGACAGAGGACACCACGTGACCTGAAATACTGGAACTAGCTGTCTCCACACCCTGCCCTGTGCCCACTTTATTTCCACTGAGAATGGAATACAAGTATAACCCTAGCTCTATTCAATAAGGGCTGCTGCAGGTTCTGGATGCCCCTGCCTCTTTAGCAACCCCCGCTTCCTCCATGCATTCATTTCTTCACTCATTCAACAAACATGTGAGCACTTCCTTGCCCCAATACTTTGTGGGAATACAATAAGTCTGCCCCAGTGCTGAGTGTCAGAGCTCAGAACGGCAGGAGGGCCCCTTACCCAGGGCTTCTCTTCCCCACCCCACCCTCAGTGCCCATTCCTGTAGGCACTCACTGTGTTACAGTGAGTCACAGGAGTCCTTGTTCCTTGTTCCTGAGGACATTAGGAACACCCCACCCAGGACATCAGCAGACCTGGGTGCCCAAACATCTCCCAGAGGGCTCCCACATCCCACTGCCCCCAAGAAATCTTCTGCAAACCATATGTCATCGCTTTAATACTGTGTAATACTTTTTTTTAAAATACAGTCTCTTCTGAGGTAGACAGACCACAACTGCAGAGCATCATCAGACAGGAGATAAATACGTCCATGTACAACACGCAGCAAAATGAGGTAGAAATGGTTACAGTGGGAGGAGAGGATCCCAGCGCCAGTCTGGGTAGAAGAAGGGGAGGGGCCCGCTTGGAAGTTGCCCTCCCCACTTCCTGCCCCTGGATTCTTTGGTATGCCCCCCCAACATTGCCAGAACTGGACCAGCCCTTCCCCTACCTGCCCCAGTGCCCATGAGGTAGGTGCCACTAGGCTGGGGGGGGGGTGTCCTTGTGCAAAGCTCCCCAAGCCTGGGGAACAGGAGGAGCCTAGTAGAGGAAGCGGTGGGGACTCCACCTCCCAGAGCTGCCTGCCTCTTGAAGGGAAGGCTAGGATCCCCTCCCCAACTTCCCTGCACCCTCCACCCCCCACCCCCCCAAACATACACACCTGAGAGAGAACCCCTCACTCCATGCTCCCTCCGAGGGTCTTTTGCAGCCTGCAGCTGTGATCCTGCAGCCCACTGCTTCTGAGGCACCAAAGCCCTGCAGTCGGCTGGCTCCAAAGAGAGGGGGAAGGGGGGGGAGAAAGCAGGGCAGCCTTCCAGTCAGCACTCCTAGGCCAGCACAGGCCCTGGGTCCCTGAAAGGTCACCCACAGACACCCTCCCAGCCAGGGGGGGAGGCAGTAGACTCTGTAGGAAATGTACGGGCAGGCAGGGAACTGGAAGGGAGGCTGAGATGGGAGAGAGAAAAAGAGGTGGGGAGGGCATGTCCCCCCCGCTTGGACCAAAGATAAGAGTTGTGAAATGGGCTGGGGTGTGGGAGGGGAGCAAACTGTTAAAGCCTCTCTAAGGGAAAATTGGTGGGAAGGAGAGGAATGTGGTTCTCAGAGAGAAGGGCTCCAAGCCTGGTAGAAAGTTCAGGCAGGACTGAGACTAAACCCCCCAGGTCAAAGGAAACGCCCTGTCCATTTCCCTCCCCTCTCCCAGCTCTGGAGCTCCAGACCTAGGACTCCAGGAGAATGGTGGGAGGCATGTTTCCTCGCAGAGCCCCCTCAGTAAGGGATGCTCATCCCTCCTCAGAGCCTCCCAGCAGAGGTGGCTGAGGTCCAGTAGCTGATTTTGTGGCCAGACTGTTTACCCAGATGGAATTCTCCTAAGTCACTGGGGACCTCTGCCAAGGTGGGGCAGGTGACGTGACCTCTCTGGAGACTTTCTGCTTAGGCCACCCTCACATTTGGGCCCTCTCAGCCTACTTTCTGGGTCTCAGGAAGTAACTGGGCAAAGGCATCCTAACTCTGGATAGCCCTTCACAGAAAACACTCAGCAGAGGGGTGGGAGTGGGAGAGGGGGCGGGGAGCAGCAGGAGGGGAATAAGGCCTCCCCTCTCTCAAACCCCGCAGCCCACTCCCCACACTCTTGCCTAGGCCTTGGCCCTGGGGAGGAAGCCCTTAGGAATACATTCTGCTTCTGCCCAGGAATAGCTAGGGTTTCACTGAGGCCTCTGGTCTTCCTCTCCCCTTCCCCGTAAGTCCCATTTTTTTGAGTGTCTGGGAGAATTTGCTCCCCTGAATGGAGTGGGGGGGGGGCGAGGGCAGGAGTAGGGGGCACACAGGAGAGCAGCCAAAATCTAACATTCTTTCTGAGGTCAGTTTCTTCCTGAGTTGTCAAAATAAAAAGAAAAACAGCAAATTCTACACATCTTACAAAAATAAAAAGCCTAAAATATGAAACAAGCTACATTTCTGGGATCTCCCCTCAAAAACAAAAAACTTCCCTTCTTTGGGGAATTTTTCCCTTGATCCCTAGACCCTAGGTTTCGGATGGGTAAGAGGTAACCCTCCTCCCCTCCTCCTCAGCCCCTGGGCCTCCAGAGCTCC